AAGATGAACATGTTACATAATAAAATGAACATGTTATAGAATAAGATGAACATGTTACATACACAATAAGGTGAACATATTATAAAACGAAAAATTAGTTGTGTTCAAAAATCTAACAAATGTGGTCTCTATTTATAGATAATGAAAAATTATGAATTTCGGTATTTTTATTTTATTTTTTTAATATAAATAATTAATGATATTTTAATTTATGTATTATGTCTCATTTTTCAATTAAAAATAAAAAATTGGGGATGTGCACTACACTCTCCTAATTTCTCTAGTTTTGGAGAGTGAAAAGCGCGTGCAATTGTGCCTTGGCGCACCTAGCTAGGTGTGCAAAGGCACACGGTAGTGCAACTGATTGATTTACATACAATTAATACTTTCTCGAATTTTTAATTTCAAACGTGTTTTTTAACTTTTCCAAATTAGTATGCATTTAATGTTTGACATTTTTTTTCAACTATTTTTAACAGTATAATAATAAATACGAATATATTTTTGAATATATCTTATATTGATAGATATAGATGTAGGAAAAAGAATCATATAAGAAAGAATAATAATGAAAAAAATAAGAATGATTATAGACCATTAGATCATACATATCAATGGTTAGGATAAAGTCAAACTTTGGTCAATTATTAATGACAATATGGTAAGTTATCATACATCGTGGTCAAAAATACATATTTGACTACTCAATAAGGACAAATTAGTCATTACATATATATCCACATTAATCAGATGGGGCCCACCATAAATGCAACAACCACCAGGCACCAACCACTCTCTCTGCTCGTAATTTCACCTGCACACTACAATCTCTCTCTCATAATTACACTAAAAATTCACACACTACACACACACACTCCCATCTGTCGCCGTCGTCAACAACCTCGTCCATGCCTGAGCCGTCGTCGCCGACAATCCCCGCTCCCGACATCCCGCCGTCCGCTGTCACAATGCTCCGGAGGAACGATCTCTCCACCACGCCACCGTCGATGTCTATCGACAGTCCGCACCATGGCTGGAATGCTCTGTGTGTGTGTTGTTTTTTTTTTTTTGNNNGGACTGATTCCGGCGAGGCTGCCGCTTCAGCCCACTACTGCCGCCATATCCGCCGTCTGACAACAGCGTGTTGTCGGAGAAGGAGCACCGGGAGTAATGTTAAGCATAGGGACTTTGTTTTGAGAATTTAATAAAATATGAGGACTTATTTGCAATTTCAAAAGTTTTAATATATTACATTTTAGTATGTGAGTCAATTTTATAATTTAATAAAAGTCAACTAAATGCACAATAATGATGTATAAAATGCACATTATTATGTGGGAACATGGACATCGTAAAACCCGGTATATTTTTACTGATTCCCACTTTTAATTTATCTGTTTAATTTATTCATATTATTGATTATGAAAAATTATGATAAGTATTTAATATTTATTTATTTGATATTTTATATTATTTTTTGATTAAAAAAATTAATACATATGTAAACGAAATATACTATGCAATCTAATTGTAATTAAGGTGCAACTCGTACAACAATACGGTGCACAAAACCTGTCTATGTTGTGCGATTGAACCAACTGAACTCGTGTCCCATGTCAAATTGAAAATGAACGTAATTATCTGGTTTATTTGGTCTGGTTAACCAAATTATCTTAAATATTTGAAATAATTTGTTATTTATATTAAAATTATAATTATTATGTTAATAATTTTATTTATTATTTTTTATGTTATTTATGGTTGAAAATATTTGAGTCCAGTTTGTTTTGATCTCTAATGTGCAATCTGATAGTCACGATAAAGTGCAACGTGTTGTTTTATAAAGTGCAATGTGTTAATGTATATGGTGATGTAGTAATTATGGTACGTTGGGTGTATAAATGACGTGAGCGATGTTAAAGTATTATATATTCCCTTTTTTTAGTTTTTTTTTTTTGTTTGATATTTCGGCAGAAGCTAAGGACGTTGATTGTGGATTGTGATGATAAAGTACAACGTGATTTTTTATAAAGTGCAACGTGTTGAATTATAAGGTGCAACATGTTCATATATAAAGTGCATTATTTTATATGATCATACTAACAAAATTATCCCCTAAACACTATCTAATTAAAAAAAAAGTCAATAAAACCCTAAATTTCTAATTTAAAGTTATTATTGAAAAAATTGAAAAATAATTATTAATTATATTATAAAAATATATTGATTTAATATATTTGTTTAATGTTTTTTTTATTATTTTTTGGTTGCAAATAATGTATTTTATATGTTATTATGTTTATTTATCATTTTATAAATATATGTATAAAACAATATGAAATACAATAGTTTTTAATATAACTTTTATAAATTACATATTTGACCCATGGGTTAATTTGAAAAA